CTAGCAGTTTCTTACCAGTCAGTCTGTCCGGCAGTCAGTGAATCAGTCCCCCAGCCTGCCAGCCAGTCAATCAACCAGTCAGTCAATCAATTTGTCAATCAGCCAGTCAGTGATCAATCAGTCAACCAATCTGTTAGTCAGTGAATCAGTCAGCCAGCCAGCTAATCAACCCATTAGCCCGTCAATCAGTCAGTCAATCAAGCAGTTAATCAGTGAATCTACCCGTCCGTCCGTCAGTGACATGAGGAGACAGGCATTCCTCGTGTTTCTGAGCCCCGCCTTGCCGAGCTCCGATGTGGCCGCACGGGTCACGAACAGAGTCTGTGACATCCCTCCTTGTCAAACCCGGCCTCGGGCATGTGCTCACGCTGTGCCGTGTGTCCTTGGGGGCTGCGCTCACACTCCTGCGTCCTTTTCCTCGGGCGCCTGGACACTGGGAGCCCCAAGCCTCTGGAGCTGTGGGTCCAGACCCAGACGGAGCTGCGAGAGGAGGGTCACGAGAAACTTGGCAGCAGTGAAAGGTTTCTGAATGCCCAGCGACCACGAATGAATTCAAACGCAATGAATCCGAGGTGTTTCTGGCCTGGCTTGCAAGTTTTCCAGGTGAGAAACAAACTAGCTCAGAGCCCTCAAACGGATGGATGCTGGCTCACAGCGACCCTCCCTCTAGGACAAGAGGCCACTGCTCCTGTGGGTTCCGAAACCTTGACCCTTTGTGGGAGTCGAGAGCCTTGTCTTTATCCTGCAGGGTGGCTGGTGGTCTTGAACAGCTGACCTGGCAGTTAGCAGCCCAGCACGTAACCACCGTGCCACCAGGGTGGGAAGGAGGGAGGCCTGAGAAGCCCTGTTCTAGGCTGCAGCCTGGCGTCAGCGTCCTTCTCTCTGCACTGGGAAACTACCACTCCTCCCGGATGAGCTGACGGATCTTCCTGCAGCTGGGTGGGCTGGCATCGGCCAACAACGTCTCTGGGGTCCTCCTGTGCAGGGGGCTGCAAACCAGATCACTGGAGCCTGGATGAGCGGCAGCTTCAGCCTTCAGCCTTCGCTGCGGGGAGGGGAGGGGTGCTCGCATTCCATGTGGGTCCCAGGGGAAGTCAGGTGGCCCCAGAGGTGCCTCAGAAGACAGGCCCGGCAGTCTGCTTCTTCCAGGACGCCCACCTCCGTTCCCCAGGTGGCCTCCTGGCTTCCAGCACACTTCTAGGTCCTTGCTTCGCCAGAGCAAGGTGTCTGGCATCTCGGGATCTCTGACTCGGTAGCCCCTGCTTTCCTCCTTAAAGCGCAGGACCCCGGTTTCCCTGTCAGATTTCCACTCTGAGGCTTTCCAGACCAGCCCCCGGGGTCCCCATGGGATTCCACTACACAGCTCCTCTCTGCCGAGCCAGGCCCATCTCCCGGCTCAGTGCCTGCCTGGCCTGTGGACTGGCTTTGGGACATTCAGGCACCAGACGCCCCCCTGAGATTTCAACCTCTGTTGGCATTTGATGAGCCCAGACGCCACCAGAGATGGTGTTGGTAAATGGATAGCCCCCTCCCCTCCTGGCTGCAATGCATCCCTGGGTCTCTGCCCAGCATCTGGCCGCTCCGCCCTGGTTTCCATCAAACGTGAAACCCAAAACTCACTGCCATCGAGTTGATTTCGACTTGTAGGTTCAGAAAGGGCCCAGAAGTGGACGGGGCACCCCTGGGGCAGCAGT